GCGGCCATTTTTTCAATGTTCTCAAAATGTGCGGTTACACCGTTTAAAAAGCTTCGCAATCTTTTGAATAGTTGAGTATTGAACTCAACGTCCATAAAAACCCTATCACACAAGTTTTCGCATTTTATTTTGAAAAATCTTGAGACGGCAGCGTCTTCCACATTGACACCATATGTTTCATGTTTCTACCGTAATCCTACACTAATGAAGAGCGATCGGTGGTTCGCTCCGTACTGTGAATCTAAGTTGAAGCCTGCTCTACGAAACGGTACCTGAAGCAAGGCAAAAGACTTGCTCGGAAAGATATTAACGATCAAATAGTGTATACATACTTTACGGACACCCTGTATCTGCATTCATAATGGCCCGTAGTAAACTACCGTCAGGGCATCTCCCCTAAGGCGGACCGGAGTTGATATCTTGGCGCCTCAGTCCAGCATCCGGCGAGCTATTGATCTGGATGCAGATCGCTTCCTGGACGTTGTGATCAAGTGCCTTCTCGAGAAAACAGCTACTTGATACGATTTGGTTAAATGGGTAAGCCATTGGAATTACACGCGCGCGGCCGTGGTTCGACTCCGCCTAGCGGCACAACTTTTGCTGCATCGCCGGGCAATCTTTGATAGCGGCCACTATCCAATCGATGATGACCGCTATCAAGGATTTCGCCTAGCAAACGCAAAGATAAAACAAAAAAACATTTCGTTACGAAAATTTTGCGACAGAACGAAATGGTTGCAACGTGAATTCAATGAAATGAACAAATGAGTCCTCGTTTTGGACAGCTTCAAAAAAAACCAGTAAAGTTTACAAAAAAGAGAAGAATTTGTTTTTTTCTGTCTTCCTCGCCAAAATCAGCTGTTCATCGATCCTCTCCTTTTCGGGCGCGGTCGTGCAATTTTGCGCCGATTTTGTCCGCAGTGTTAGGCAAATTGCTGTGTATCGTAAGTTACTCAGGAGCAACTTACGAAGATTTTCTCTGCGTTTCCTCTCTAGCACACTATTTCTGGACATCATCGCTCATATCATCTCCCATGACCCAGCAGGGAGATCATCTCCCTGCCGAACTTCACCTGAGGCTCACCTCTCAGGTGACGTTGCATCCCTATAGCATGGGGAAATGGGCGGTCGTAATTTTACTGACAGAACCTCACATGAAGGTCTCAGGGGAAATAATCTCCCATGACCGAGCTTTACTACGGGCCAATGTCTTTCTGTTGCTAGGAATGCCGATAAACATAACGCGATATTGTGCCCATTTAGCGAACCCCTACTCGGTAAAGTGTCGAAAAGGTTATACACCCACACGAGCGATGATTGTTGAGCGCTCAAACACTATGCCTATGCAGCTTCTCCGTGTTGAGATAGCTCCAAAATATCTTGAAGAATTAAACTTATAATTCCAACCCAGCGCACCCGTGCTCAAGATTTGAAAGTGACAAAAAAAAGTTTATAAGTTTATAAAAGTTTATAAGCTAACCGCATCGGATACCCAACTTTTTCCCGTAAATTCCGATTCGTGCTGAATCAAGGAAAGTTTCCTATTTTAAGTGATTTTACCTTAGAAAATTTGAAGATGGTCAACATTTCCCTAATTTGGAACGCACTGTAGGCGAAGGCTTTCAAGCCACAACCTGCACTTTCCAAGTAATTTTGAGTTCGATCTGCTCCGTTAGCTTCTGATTTGAGTGACAGAGAAATATCAGTTTTTGGTATGTCTTGATTTTGGAGATCGTAATTGATTGCTATATAACACAGAAATGGGGCAACTTTTCCGATTAATTTGCTAGATTCATTATTTGGGTACAGTGTTTGAACTAAGGCCATTATTATTTGTCCATAGTCTTGGCATTACATTGTGTTACAAAACGGCTAGACTAATGGAAATGACCGTTAAGTTCAGAAATTTTGATATTCCCAACAATGCATCTGTATCTTGAAAATATTCAGTTTGCATTACACAGGATAAAAGGCAAGCATTAATCACTTTGAGGAAGAGTCACCGTTATGTGTTTGCTCTTCACCTGAAAAATTGCTGAAGCATTCATGCGGACTTGGTCGTAAGTGGCTTATATGAGCATGTACTTCATTATGACTGCTGAGAACTATTGCATGCTGATCTTTATTAGCAAAATTAAGCAGAACAGACTAAACACATACTGCGACAAAGCTTATACATGGGGACGTCCGACTTTGTTCAGGTATGCTTGGCTTTCCTTGTTGAACAGCACACCTAATGTATTCCATGCAGCTTTCTGATCAGCACTAAGCGTGGCCCCTTTACTCTCCAAGTATTCTTGCCAAAACGTAGAGAAGAACACCTACAAGGATCTTATGTAGCATTTATGAGAATTTCCTCGCAGTAATTTCAACCCACTTCCCACAGAGCTGGATCAATATTTCTTTCAAAGTGTTCAATCATGACTCTGTGAGTGAAGGCGAGGAAAACTGGCTCCTAAAGATAGATTTAGTTATAAGCACGAAGAGGAGGAAAGGTTACTTACATTGTCATATGTGTTGGCCAAGACATGGACGAATAGTAAAATGGCGTCTCCAAGTTTGTCGAATCTGTGATGTTTTGTTTGATAAACAAAGAAAATTTCTGCTAATCCTACCTTTCGCTCTTCAGTACATCCTCACCGGTGTATTGTTCAGCGCCCTTGTAGAACTTTCGATTTTCAGGGTGGGATGTGAAGAAACTGTGTTGTTTAATAGATACAATTATCTTAATTTATAACGCTTACTATTTGTAGAAGTCTCTTCCATGATGACCGTCACCTAGTGGAGCAACTTTAAGCGACTCGACTGTGTGCTTCTTTACATCTGCTGCGCTCCTACAAGAATTCAACAAAAACATTTTGAATACCGTTTTTTTTAATATTGCTAAAGTTTTCCTTATAACTCACATTGGTGCCATTTTTACCGCTGGACTCTGAAATAAATTTTCTTAATCAACATGAATTATACTTGTTCTATTTACATACTCATAATCGCGACGTTTAGCCGAGATATCAATGATAAGATGTTTGGATGTTTTTAAAAAATTGATTTAGCAGTTAAGATTGGACAAAACGAGGAAAACTCGAGTGGATGTGAAGCAGGTTCTGTTCGGATGCAGGCTGCCGAGCCTTTTATAACCGTCCCATACTGCCGCCTGTGCTTCGTAATGCCAGAAAAAACCATGTTTTTGCAGAAGAAAAAATCTCGATTTTTGTCAATAAACTTATCAAAACCAAAAAAGTTCCAGCTACTACATGCCAGCTAATCATGACTTCCCTATGGCAAGTATTGAAAATTCCGGCATGAGCCCAGTACCAAAAACACTTAAATTTGGGAGCACCTTAGCACTGACTGGGTAATCTCAAATTTCAAAAAATTTGACTTTTTCGAGGCGCGTCATGTGTTTTTTATGGTTCAATTATCTCTCAGTAGCTTTCGCTGTAACAAGATCCCAATATCATGTGATCAGTTATTGACAGATTAACAGCACTATTATCCGTAAAAACAATTCATTGCTCTTACGAAACCTCGAAGCGCCACTTAGATTATATCCTATCCACAGAATGATGATGACAAGCAAGCAGCATTTTTTAATATTAATGGTAAGATGGTAAGGCGGTAAGCTGGTAAGTAAGTTAAGATTACAAGACGATGATTAAATGATGATATGATGGTGAGCTCAAACGAAGCTTGAAAAATATAAAGAAATGAGGAGAGGGCTAGTGAAGCAGAAAAGCACACCTATATGTCCTCAATTTCCTTACACTCGATTGTCACCCGCTTATTAAGAGGATTCAGGAGAGGCTGACAGAATACAAAATGAGAAAACTCGAGTAGATGTGAAGCAGGTTCTGTTCGGATGCAGGCTGCCAAGCCTTTTATAACCGTTCGTTACTGCCTCCTGTGCTTCGTAACGAAAAAACCATGTTTTTGCCGAAGCAAAAATCGCGGTTTTTGATATGCATGACTTTCCTTGTTGAACAGAGTGCCCATAGCATCCCAAGAAGCTTTTTGATCGGCACTCATTTTGGCACGTTTGCTTTCCAGGAATCCCGTCCAGAATGTGTTGAAGAATACCCACGCTATTACAAGTGAGAGTCAAATAATGTATAAGAAAAGTTAATAAAGCATACTGCCCACAGGGCCGGATCATTGTTTCTGTTAAAATGCTCATACATATCTCTGTGCGTGAAAGCGAGGGAGAGAGGCTCCTAAACTTGTGCATTCGAAATTTCGGTCAAGATCTTTCTTACTTACATTGTCGCAAGTATTAGCCAAAACAAGAATGAAGAGAAGTATGCTGTCTCCTAGTTTGTCGAACCAATAAAAAAACGAACGTTGGAGAGATGAATTAGTACACACTCCTTAACCTTTCCCTTTTTAGCACATGTTCACCAGTGAAGATTTCGGCGCCCTTGTAGAACTTCCCGACATCGAGGTGCGAAGTAAAGAAGCTGAATTCCATGCGTTACAGTCCTTTAGACGGTAAGAATTTTCTACTTACTACTTGTGGAAATCCCGTCTGCCCGTCGCCTAGAGGAACTACACTGAGCGATGAAACAAGATTTTCTTTACGTCAGATGATCTGAATTAAGCTACAGTCTTAGTGAAAGGCATAGAACAGTGAATAGTGAACTAGATGTTTCCAAATACAATATCAAAATTCAGCTAAAAGCTTGCAATGTTGCCATGGCCAATTTTTTTTCTTGGAAGTTTTTTTTATTACATGCTTGTAAATCCTGTTAATCGAAGCAGTTTGCTTCTTTTCATTATTACATTTGCGAATGCTATGTTGATAGCATGTGTTGAACCATTTGATGTAGTCAAGATTCTGTTGTTAATGGCACTTTGCATCTGCAGTCCGAAGCGCACGTCTTGCTGCAATTTCTTGCTTGATCAGCTGTCTTAACTTTGTCAAAGTTTACACTAAATTTCTCAAAAAACTGGGAAAACTCAATCAAAGGAACACGTTCAATAGTATAAAGGTTGCTGCTTGAGCGGTTTCGCATCTACTGATTAACCTCTTTTGATACTACTGGCGTTTGAATCACCTTCCATCAAAAAAAAATTTGCGATGGCACCACTGTAAGCTTTTAGCTGGATTTTGACATTGTGTTTGGAAACATCTAATTCACTAAGATGCCCTTCATTAAGATTGAAGTTTAATTCAGAACATCTGACGTAAAGAAGAATCTTGTTTCATCGCTCAGTGTAGCTCCTCTAGGTGACGGGCATCATGGACGGGACTTCTACAAGTAGTAAGTAGCAAATGCGTTACCTCTAAAGGACTGTAACGCATGGCCTTCAGTTTCTTCACTTCGCACCCTGAGGTCCGGAAGTTCTACAAGGGTGCCGAAAACTTCACTGGTGAAGATGTGCTAAAAAGCGAAAGGTTAAGGAGTGTGTACTAATCCATCTCTCTGACGTTCGTTTTTTTTACAGGTTCGACAAACTAGGAGACAACATACTTCTCTTCGTTCATGTTTTGGCTAATACTTGCGACAATGTAAGTGAGAATGTTCTTGACTAAAATTTCGAATGCACAAGTTTAGGAGCCTCTCTTCCTCGCTTTCACGCACAGAGTCATGTATGAGCATTTTAACAGAAACATTGACCCGGCCTTGTGGGGAGTATGCTTTATTAACTTTTCTTATACATTATTTGACTCTCACTTGTAATGGCGCAGGTATTCTTCAATACATTCTGGACGGGATTCCTGGAAGACAAAGGTGCCAAACTGAGTGCAGATCAAAAAGCTTCTTGGGATTCTATGGGCACTTTGTTCAACAAGGAAAGTCAAGCATATTTAACCAAACTGGGACTGCCACACGCTTGAATTTCACTGCTGTCAATTTATGGTGTTTTCCAATAAATCTTAGAAGCGTGTGCGATGTATTGTCTTCAACACCACTTCCATAAACAGGAAATGTATTTAGACAAAATTCGTTCAAATAGCATACAACATGCTTCGCTCGTTAGTTAGCGAAGGATTCCAACGCGAATTACAGTTGTTTAACCGAGCAGGAACTCAGAAATAGGCTACTTCGCTAGTAGAGTGGCGCACGCGACGTAGCAGCGTGCGCTCGGCATGTTTCATCATATGAAATCATATCAGATGAAAGATACTATAATAGATATATTAAAGAACGTATTGTGCATATACGAATGCAATGCCTACGCAAAAGTCTGTAGGGCTGATCTGCTGTCCAGAACACACATTTCCCATACATGACATGCCAAAAAGAGAGAAGAATAGGCTGAAAATTTTTGAAACAAGCCTTTTGACAGCTGGCAAAGTTCTGAGCAGAATTCATTTTCCCACTTATGCAACAACTTTTGAGGGGAAAAAGGGTTCTTCGGCATCTTGAAGAAAAGTCATCGACTTTACAGATTCTAGACCTGAATCAATAATCATTTTGTTTGAATGTAGAAAATGCGCCCGAATCGACCTAGAAGGACACGATACTTGCTCGAAGCGGCCCTTGCATATGCAGTATATACAGGGTGTCCCAAAAAGATGTGCACACTGTTTGATTGTTAATAACTCTTTTGCTTTCATGTCTTTTGCCGAGCTTGAGGTACCATTCTTTAGAGCGAGGTCCAACTTAGATTCACAGTATGGAGCGATGTGCCAGAGGCTCTTCATTACTGTAGGATTACGGTAGGAATTTCGAGAACGATTTTGAGCCATCAAAAGCGGTATTTTGCCTCAGAAAAGAGCCAAACAAGAGTCGCTGATTCTAATTATGAAAATTGCACGTCAGTACACTGTTTCTTTCATGAGTTATTTCAGATTTAGGGTAACAACTGATTTTTGATTGTTCGTCAGAAATGTGTATACGCCATCAAGAAAGCTCGAAAAACTGATGGAAAGTTATGTAGTGAAATCAGCACGCCTGAAAACCTTGCTACACAATTTTCTAGAACTTTTTGAAATTATTTCATCAAAAGGCTTATTCCACAGTGACGCTGTATGCTGAAAGTTCATACCGTGATCCTACAGTAATGAAGAGTTAGTGGTGATTCGCTCCATACTGTAAATCTAAGTTTATCCTCGTTCTATAGACTGGTACCTCAAGCTCGGTAAAAGACATGAAAGCAAGAGAGTTATTAACAATCAAACAGTGTGCACATCTTTTTGGGACACTCTGTATTTCCTAATAGAGCATGGATTGCTGAGTTTAAATCTGCTTTCGCTATCTGCAAATTTCTTCTGGAAGGGGAGAAGGAAATTTTTGAAGCAAAAACTTGAACGTGCAGCTACAACAAAACTATTCGGGAAAGTTTGTGAGCTCGGATTCTATGGTTGTTATTGAGACTTTATGCGATAAATGCCGTCACTCTTATGAACACATTTCATTACTCCTTTCAAATTGTAAAAAAAAGTCAAATCAATGGATTTCCAGGTTTCCTCGTTCTTGAACCTCGGCATTTGCAGTATTAATGTACTAGTAGATGAGTAAGCGGACCAAGGTTAGTAGATCTATATTAGTGGCGGCCTAAAGTTTGGAACAAGTAGTGTTCTCCGGAGTCTTCTTCCATCCTCGTGCGAGATGGCAGAGCAGCCGTCTTGAAGCACAGTATACACAGTATCCTAGGAAAGCACTAAGTCCATTTTCTGATCTCCGAATTGTTTTTGCAAGAGGAGAATCTCCTCTAAAATGACTCTTTCTTGTTTTTGCAATATTTTGCAAGTCAAATTCTGGCCATGATTACAGTCGAATCATTTTATGTGATAATGTGTGTCACTGCACACACGCTGTTCCACCCTTGGCGTGCCCATCCTGGATTTTTGGCGCAGACAACTCTTCAGGTAGGTGTTTTCGGTGTGTTCTTGGTGTTTCCTTTCCTCTTTAGGTACTGATCATCACAAAATGATGTAAGGGATAATGATTCCTTAGTCTCTTGCGTTTTTGCGTTTGTAAATCCAGGATGAGGGCGTCAACGATGGACGGTGTGTGCAATGCACATATGATCATATGAAATGATCCGACTGTATGTATGAGCCATCGCTTCGTAAAAAAATTCTTTATTGATGTTCGGGGCTAAAGTGACACTCCGGTATTTTCTGCAACCCAACCGAAAAATTTTCAAATGCGAATGTTAGAAGCTTTGTTCCGAGGCTAGCCAATTAGATGTGCGAGAATGTACATGGCAACTTGAATCCTTGTGAAGTAAACAGCGGAGGGACAATGTCAGTAGGCTGTACTTAAGCCAATATTCGTAATGTGCTTGATCACTTTCGAAAGGCAGGGTATTTGTGCACAAAATGACCATTGGAATTGTGTGACAGAATTCAAACTAGCTGGATCAGCAGGCTCTTACACCACACTCACCTGACCTATTCCAAATGAATGTGTCTCAGACATGTAAACAACTTTTTGCAAGCGATTTTCATGTAGAAAAAACAGCCAGAACTCTAATCCTTCTTTATTTTAGAAAAATGGATTTATCTGTTTTTTGTTTGTTGCTCTTGTCTGAAACATTCCTTTGATTTTCGCCAAGCGGCACATGAAGCAGACGATAACTTTAGCATGAAATTTAGACAAGAAGAAGCAGGAATTGGGTAGAGATACCTGCATAGTGTTCGTTTCCACGCAAAGTAGATATTAAAAGGCCATTGAATGGCAGAGTACATAGAAACTGCAACTTGTAGCCACCACTAAACCCTCTGTGAAATGTCGTATGCTACTAATTTAACTATGTATGCATACAATCTACTGTCTCGAATAGCACGGAATTGCGCCCCTAGATAGGCATGAAAATCGTTGACACAACGACGAATGGAAAATTGGATCCATTACTACAAAATGCCAGCAATCATTAGTTTTTTTGTTATCGCATTTTTTGAACAAGGAATCAGGACAGAAACTGCGTTTAAGCACCAAAAATGACTTTGAAAATTTCTCCATGTTACTACATAAAAAGGTCATTGTTTATATTCGCTGAACTTGAATATTACAAACCGGCCTCATTTCCTGATCGGAATTGCAAAGAAGTGATCATACATTGGATTGGAACAAAAATTCGGTCGAACCTCCTGCAAATGTCCACAACTTTCTGCTTTATTGAAGTTTAGACTAGTAGCGAAAGCACATATGGTATGGATAAATGCGATATGAGAGTCTGGAATCATGAGTGAGAGTATGAGAATCTGAAATGAAAAAAAAAAGAGAATATGAAATCTAAAACTCGCATCTAATTTATTATTACAGGTTGTATTAGTTGTTATTTCAAGCTGAGCAAAGTTTGGTTGCTTGAATTTTTTATGGAAATTTATGAGTAAGTGTAAGTAGGAGTACCTTTTTGAGTAAGCAGTAAAAAACAAAAAAGTTTGACTTTTAAGCCGTTTTCTCAAAAAACATAAATTTGCAGAAAAGTTCGGCAAAAACTTTGTTTTGTTGAGACGAAAAGCTAATAAAATTTTTGGTGGCGGCTGCTCCAATTTTTTTGCAAGTTTTGGACTTTTACGGAGAAAAATGAAAAGTCCAACTTTGAGTGGATTTATTCTGATGCTTCAGTCTCTGCCATATGTGATTTTTCAAACATCGCCGAGGTATATTTCGGCTGATCACGCATTTAAGTACAATTCAAAGCGTACAAGTTTGTTGAAAATTGAAAAACAAAGTTATATTAGGTTGATGCGCAATTCTTGCACCAAAAAATGCAAAAAAATTACTTTAAAAATGCTTAAACAAACTAGTCAACTTACATGTTTTGCTCTATGTTATGTATATCAAAAGTAGTATTTTATAGTACATTTTAGAAAATCAATTTGAAACAAAAGCGATGTCATTTCAAAAAAAAAACGAAATTCGTACATATTCGCAGAGACATCCAATCACTACCAATTTCTCTTAGTTGAAAAAAGCATGCCATAAAACTTAGACTAAAAATAAATTCAAATTCTAGTAGACGTTTTAGCAATTTTAGTGACTAAAAATCGAAAAATCACTTTTTGGGTATTTTTCTTATTCGCCTTGTATGGTTGCCATATGTCCTCAAGGACTTTTGGCTCGAGCACCGCCTGAAGGCGCAAGATTTGCTCTCTCTACTATGTATCGAACCAGAAGATTTCATCGCAGTTGGATGAAGTAACAGAATTTTAAAAATTTTGGTGCAAGAATTATGCATCAACCTAATATTTTCAAAAATTAAACTGAATTATGCCCCAATCTGATGTTTGCTTATTCTGGTCGTAAATTACAAAAAATGCACAAAATTTTATGAAAGGCCATGTTGATTTGTAATAAAAGTCTTAGAAAATGAATGCTTTCACATGAGAAACCCACTCGAGGTCTCTTGCTGTGATAATACAGTAGTGTATAGTTGAGAATTTTGAAAGAAGTATAAAGATTTTTTGGAGCCCTTGGCGCCAGGAATCTGACTTAGATAAAATTTGTTTGCAAACCACTCATTGTTGGCTTGGTCTACAACAAGTAAGTTCATGCTAATCTTTATTGAGACAGGCTAAATCGTCCCAGAGCGATGAATCAAACAGCAAATTCATGCATGTTGACGTCCCATCTTGGCCAAATATGCTTGGCTTTCCTGTTTGAACAAGTCACCCAAGGTATTCCAAGCAGTTTTCTGGTCGGCAGTTAGAGTGGCTCCTTTGCTCTCCAAATATCCTTGCCAGAAGTTTTGGAAGAAAATCTGGAAAATTGCAGAAAATAAAAGTGATTTCAAAAAATTGCTGATATTGCTTCTCAATCTTACGTTCCACAAAGCGGGGTCAACATTTCTGTCAAAGTGCTCAATCATTACTCTGCGACAGAAAGCGCGGAAGACTGGCTCCTAAAAAGTAAAAATATCAGTTTGACAGACGTAGCGCACGCAGCGCACCCACATTGTCATATGTATTAGCCAAAACGTGCACAAAGAGCAGAATAGCGTCTCCAAGTTTGTCAAATCTATAAATTGGAGATTTGAAATTTTGTTTAATTTATTAGGAAAGAAACCTGTCGCTCTTGAGCACGTCGTCACCACTGAAGTTTTCGGCACCTTTGTAGAACCGACGGTGCTCGGGGTGGGTGGTGAAGAAGCTGAATAATAGTTTCGTTTAAGTACCTATTAAGAACAAAGCTCTTCCTCACAATTTGTAGAAGTCTCTTCCATGGTGGCCTTCACCTACTGGAGCTACGCTAAGAGACGAAACAACGTTATGCTTGACGTCTACAGCACTCCTGACAAATTGTAATTGTAAATGTATGTGATACGATGAAATCGCTTAGCTGAGAGGCACTGAGAACTTACATGCATTGTGTTGCCGTGAAGCATGCTGCAACGAGAGGGGCTTAGTCTTTAGGCATATGAAAAGCAAAGCAACTTACCAAGAAGAGCTAGCACCCAGAAAATTGCTTGAGCCATGTTGAGAGACTTCTGAAAATTCTAGTATTCTAAGCTTTGCTTAAATTCTTTGGACCGAGTATGTTGAGAAACACAGGAAGAAAAGATGAGATCGGTTTGTGATGCGGCACTATCCTCGAGGTCTTGCTTTTATACTCAGGTTCGAGGGTAGTGTTGTTCATATGTGCTGTAAAGCTTTGCAAATAGCGAGAATTTTTTCATTGCAGAAAAAGTCACATATTTTTTGAAGCTTAGTGGTACCTGACAGTCCAGGCTTTACTACATGGCCCTTATGGTAAAACAACAGCTGGCTTTTGTCATAAAAAATGTTATGGATGAGGAAATCGTGAATGAAAAAAACTACGATTTATTGGCTGAAAAAATACCGGGATGTACATCAGGATGCCAGCACAAAGCAGCACAATGACTAGGCAAATTGACTGATGAATTTCTTGCAAATCTCTCAACTGAGTTGATATGATTCTAATTAGGAATACCGAGTTTTAATGGAAATCTCGAAAGGAATTGTGCTCTTGGTAGTTTCAAACGTTGAATGTGCCTAAAAAGCTTATCTAAGTGTTGAGTACCCTAAAATCTGACCCTATAGGCTTCGTTTTGTCCCACATAATTTCGCCTTCAGTTCTTGTTAAAGCAGTATTAGTTTTTTAGAGCAATGTTACTGAGCACTAAGTGCGGAACGCAATCTGATGATCATTCCGCCGCTTATTATCTGAAGCTATATTCATGCAAGTTTTTGAGACCATGCATTAAAGTACTGCCCATGAATGATCCACTACAAAAAATAAATAAAAGCGAAAACTTTTATGCTCAGAAGTTATTTGTTATGCTTTGCAGTGCTGGCCCACACATGATTTAGTCATATATAAGCTAAACGCTGAACAAAGCAAAAAATATGCCAGAATTCGCACTTAAACTGCTTCATTTTACATCTAACCCTATTCCGCCTGCTTTTGGTGCTGATCAGCAAACTTTTGCAGAAACTTTTGCAGAAAGTGTTGAAAAATACATGTTGGTGAGCTTGTTAGAAGAAAGTGATAGTAAGAAAGAAGTAGAATTTACTTGCTTACTTTAGTCCAAAGAATAACCAATAAGAGTGAGAATCTTTTAATATTATTATCAAAAGTAATGGATAAGGAATTTCGGAGTTGAATATGGTTTTAATAAAGAATAAGGGATTGCAATGGCAATCTCGAAAGGAAAAGTGCTTTCGGTTGTTTTAAATTTCGAATTTTCCTAAAAGCTTACCAGGGTGTTGATGTACCCCAAAATCTGACATATAAGGCCGTTTTGACCCAGATAATTCCACTTCCAATTGAGTTAGCCCAATGCGTAAGTCCTTTCCCAGAGCATCGCCTCAATTTTTTTCTGTTTGTGCTAGAAATTTTTTGTGATTTGACCTAGGCTGGGTCACTGTAACTGAGTAGTTTTCAATTTTAGCTATTCTGAAAAGAAATTCTGTTAAGCACCTTGTTTATCTTGGAATTTATCAATGCATTCAGCATTGATAAATCTGAACAATGGACTGATTGACAACATAGGTATACATTACTTGCACGAAATGATCGAGGCTGGCTCCTTATGCTTTGTCATGTTCATAGTACTGATTCTTTCTGATGTTTTCAAACTTAGCACTAGTATTTTTTTCGAAAACCAGAATTGAATATGAATGTCACCGCAAAACGAATTCAAGTCAAAGTCCAAGCTTTGTTCTTGCTCGAGCTCAAGCTTTGTCCTCGCAATAATCATGGATTAGTAAGGATCCACTAATTTTCTACATCGTGGATACTTTCAATATGGAGCGTTGTGACATCTCAAAATTGCTCAAAATCACAACTCGCACAATTGAGCTTCTTCTGATGTCGAGAATTGTTATTGGCATATCCTTCTCCAACATTTTTCTCGCCACTAAATAATTATCTGTGGTAGAAATAAACAGAGCAAAAAGTGCAGGCCTACGATCCCACTGCACGTAGAATTTTTTTGTCATAAGATGTTTACAACACGATACACACTGAGACTAGTATAAAAGGAGCTGCTGTGAGGACAAGCATCAGCTTCTGCTGTTTCTCAACTAGTCAGTTGCAGCTTTCACAGATGGTTCTTTGATGATTTCGAAATCTATGCTCAATTAATGTGTCCTTGGCAAAACATGATGCCAACATGATGGCAAATTTGGTCTTATAGCTAATACAGCAAAGCAGAAACCAGCACTAGTTGAGTTAAAGGATAATTATTAAAGCTCATCAAGACCGCATATGTGTCTCAAGTTACGATATTTGGTAGACTGATACAAATTTGTGACTTGTAAGAACTGCCTTTGTGAACTTTTCAGAATCCTCAAGTCATGACTACAGGTTGGGCCATCCTTGTTGCTGGTAAGTAAAATCTATAGAAGATGCTGTATGATCTCCTATACTACATACAAAACCAGAAAATCTTTTTCAGCTTGCTTCAGTGCTGCATACTGCATGTAGGTTTTCTTCTCATTCGATTGTTATTGGAGCATCAGTCTTATATAACTCATTATACCCGGAACTTCAGGTCCGCATCGGATGTTAAAACAAACGTTGTTTCCTCGCTCAGTGTTGCTCCAGTAGGAGAAGGGCACCATGGAAGGGACTTCTATAAATTGTAATGATAAACACTGAAACACGGACTAATGTACCAATGTCATCTTGGCCGTTTAGCTTCTTCACCACACATCCTGAGCACCGAAGATTCTACAAAGGTGCAGAAAACTTTAGCGGAGATGATGTGCTGAAAAGTGACAGGTCTTTACCCAAGTAGACTGCATCAAGTTAGCAACAATTATTTTATAGGTTTGACAAGCTCGGAGATGCCATTCTGCTCTTTGTGCACGTTTTGGCCAACACCTATGATAACGTAAGCAACGATATTTATCATCATCTCATTTCAAATGCAATTTAGGAACCCGTATTTCGTGCCTTCACTCGCAGAGTGATGCTTGAGCACTTTGACAGAAATGTTGACCCTGCGCTTTGGAATGTGAGATTTTAGAGAGACAAAATTATGACATTTGTTGATTAATTGTATATCATTGCAGATTTTCTTCCAAGACTTCTGGAAGGGATATTTGGAAAGCAAGGGAGCCACCTTGACCGCCGACCAGAAGGCAGCTTGGGATTCTTTGGGTGCTATATTCAAGCAGGAGAGCCAAGCATACTTGGAAAAGTTGGGAAAACCTCACGCATGAACCTGTTTTTTTCCTCAGAAAAAATTTACCACCGCAGAAGGTGTATTTCTATTCACTGCCAATTCAGAAATAAAATGCAGCACCCAGTTTCTTTCTCACAAACAGAAGCCTTAAAAACTAACATGTTTTTCTGACTTATAAGGAAAGTCAGGTAACTTAGATTCGCGTTTTGAGATATATATTTTTGGGATCAGCGTTCGAAACTTCCTAATATATTGTTTCATCTCATACCGCGAATCTCAGTTAGACACAGTCTGCCCCAATCCCAACCAGGCCAAAATTGGCATGGCGGGAGTACGCGTCGCCAGGATTTCGCGGTCACGCCCACGGCCTGCTTCTCCTCTCTCTGCATTCATTTTGCTCTCTCCGACGGCGCGCATATGCAGCGCAGACCGCTAGCGCTGCGAGCGCGCAAATTTACGCCGACGGTTCAGCCTGATCCCGATTGGAGCAGACTGTACTTGACCTTCCTTGTCAGCTAAAAATCGAGAAGTGATTTAATCGGAGAGCATTTCCTACAAGATTTGAAAATTATACCTTTAAGTGAGAATAGGTGCAAGAGTGTTCATAAATTTCAGGAACTTGTGCAATACAATTCTGCAGTTGATATGTGCGACAACCACAGAAATTTTCGAACCATCTGTTTTTTTTTCTTGATAGCGCGCTGTTAGGTAATGTACTCTTCATGTACATCGCAACCTCGACCGCACTATTGTCGAATCGTTAATCACACTGACTGCTCAAAGCCTGACAGAGCGGGGCGGCTGAATTGCCTCGGTAGTACGACTTGTACAATAGCGAACTTGTATTGGGGCAAGCGTTCTGCTCGCGGCGCGTGCTACGCAGTGTCGTCCAGTCCGTGGGGTCAATGAATCAATTAGTTCATGCGCTAAGTCCTGAGAACGCGCTTCAGGAGACCACCATAGATGCTCACTCATCAAAAGTACGCGGTGCTACCATCTAGCACCAACGAAATCTGACGTAATCTCAACGAAATCATAGCATTCACTTTGCCGAGCCATGCATTTACGTTCGTGCCTAACCCAATCGATTACCTCTGAAGAAGCTTCTTAACTAAGTCTAGCCTCATCCGTTTGAAAAAACCTTTAGATTTTATGATGGGTATTTAACCTGGACTCTTTCTGGTTTTGTGGCGTTCCATGGGATGAAAGCAATTTGAAAAGAAAACTTAGCATTTTTGCGGCATTTTTGAATCCAGTTGAAGGCGATACGAGCAAAGTTTTTGAATATGTAAACTAAGTAAATTGCTTCCTTATGAGCAGGAGAAAACTAATCTCCAAATTGATCAAACATGTTTAAAAAATGAACTTTTAGTCTTCTTTTGAAAAGAAACTTGCACCAGGTAATGATCAGAGTTTACAAAGGTTCTATAAGATGGTCGTTACAAAAATTACACAAAATCTACTTGGCAGGCCTCTTTGGTGAGCTCACGGCAGGTGTATGCTATGAGGTCATGATTGATATTTGTCCTGATGTAGTGAGCTCATTTGGTACACTCGATCATGTTCACATCGGCACCTTTTTATCCTCTCTACGTAGCACGTCCCTCTTAGACGGAATCTGTCCTCGTTTGCGAATTTTACCACCTTCCTCATTCATGAGGGATCGGTCATACTACGTCGCCGCGCGATTTTCAATCGCTACTATTGTTTGTAATCTTCCGTAAGCGCATGCTCTATAAGCAAGTTGACATGTAAGCGTAAGCTTACAAAAGGTGTGCGCCTACGCACTTGCAGGTTGGCCGGATGCGAACATCTGGCAACTTGCCAGATCGCGTATCGTTATTATCCCGATTTTGGAAGTCGCGCGAGGATACTAGGATAATACTCGAGGCCTAATACACTTTTCAAATAATGCTCGATGCCACGGATCCTGATTATAATGTACCAGCCGCTCTCTGCTGCTACGCGGCAGGTTCGGCTGGTACTGACAGCTTCGCTTCCCTGTATATCTTTCGTTCCACTCTGTATTGTGCAAATGTGAGAATTTGCTAGTCAACTTGTTAGTTTGCACGAAATTCTTCGGAGCTATGTAGGAGGATGATCGAGGACGCACTTTGGCCTTTCAATCAAATTTTTGTTAATATTCTAAAAGGGAATGGTCAGAAGTCGAAGTGGGCAATCCATACAAGCTGCATGCCATTAGATGCAGCATAAAACGCTGACTCTAAATCTGTCTTCCTTATCTGCAGAGCGCTTTTGCGGAAAAATTATAAGCCGTTAAATGTCATCATTTTGCTAAGAAATTGTGTGCGTAAAATGCAAACTTCTCCGTACAAAGCCATTCCCGGCTTAGTGTTGGATCAAAACATGCAACTAAGTCGGTTCATGTGATTCGTGCCTAGAGGTGAGCTGAAAGAGCAATAATGTGCCTAATTACGCAGTTTTTGTATAAGATGTTTTAGAGTAAAGCTGCTCATAACTTCGCTTACAAAGGCGCTCAGATATGAAAAGATAGAAAGATAGATAGATATGAAAAGCATATTTGAAATCATCACTCTATGACGCATCGAATGGTATGCAGCTTGTATGGATTGGCCACTTCGACTTCTGATTATTCCCTTGTAGGCAATGCACAGTCAATAACACAGAAGGGCTGAATCTGTCCCATGACATGTGTGTCTGTGTCCATGTCACAGACATGTTTACTTTTTCATGTTCATTCACCTTACATGTGTCCCATGTCCCATGTAAGGTGAATGACAGTATCACGGTGTTGGAAGTGGAAGCATTCAAAGGAAGTAAGAGCGAGAAAGGCTTCATGGTATGGAGAAAAGGGGAGGGGGGGGGGGGAATATAAGGGTGTTGACTGTCATTGGATTGATATGGTTGGTGGTCGTGCTTGATCCTGTGGGTGAGTGAGATTTCTGTTTTTGATAAACTTAACTGGTCGATGAATCCCACTAAAAAAGGGATTGATGCGCAGTCATATATCAGTCAGTTGTCGAGTTATATGAAAAAAATGAATAGATAGAGAAAGTCAATAATTAAAGCAATATATATTGTATTCGTAATAAGCATGCCTACCATCCTTTCCTTGTCGCCAAATCCCAAAAGCGTAAAGTAAGAAGAATTAGTAAATCGATTAAGCCTATGTTAGTGGAAATAGCTCACTAACAAAAGACCCGTTCAGAATTTTATGCATGCGAAGTTTGATTCAGATCTCATAATTTTTTTCTAACATTCTGGGTCAGTCATAACAAATGGCTAAGTAAAAAACGCCGAAAGTCAATGAATCAAAACGACAATAGATTATTTTTAATATAAGCTTAGTGACACCAGTCCGCCACGAAGTTCATGTTTGCGAAGGTCGGTTCAGTCCTCATAACTTTTCAAACATTTTGGCCGACAAAAACACTTTTTGAGCAAAAACTGCAAAATCAATAAATCCATATAAGCAATCGGTAAGTTCTAAATAAACTAACTTATAAACACACGCCTCGCATTATTCAAATGCGTATGAAATGTGCTAAATCCCTCTTTTCTATCTGGTGATAATGGATCAAAATTGCTAATAAAACATTCTCCTCTGAAACCGAATCTCAATAAAAACGATGGAAACGCGCAGCAATTGCCGCGGAAGGTAGCCTGCAGTCGTTTGCTATTGGTCTTTTCTACCGTATGCCATCCAGCCTCAACATGACGTGGATTAGGCGGCTCCGTCTCGCTTCGGGCCTGCGCCACGTAGTGGGCGCTCGTTTGGCCTGGCGTGGCGAGAAAAGCAGCGTGACGCAAGCCCGAAGCGATGCGGCTCCTCACCAATCCACGTCATGTTAAGGCTGGAAGGCTCACGGTAGAAAAGACCAGTAGGTATTGAAAACGACTGTATGCTACTCTTCGGTATTCAGAACACATGCGTCTTTAGACTGAGCTAAAACTTCTTCTATTATTCAGGGTTGAAAAATTTGATAGGCAAAGATTGAAAAAAGTTAATAAATAGCAACCCGTATGTCCCGAACAAAAGGCGTTAACACACGCTTCTCCCCACACATTAGATCTGCCAAGTTTGGTTCAGATTCCTTGGCTCCTTCTATCTTTTTTGGCCAAAATACAGAAATTTGGAGCAAATCTGCTGGAAATTCAATAAATTGATACGGTCGAGTAGTAAATCCCGAACAAGATGGCATATTGACACATGCCCCACATTCATTATGTCTGCCGAACTTGGTCCAGATCTCATGGCTCCTTCCATACAAAAAATGGTCAAGCCAAGCCAAATATATATATAGTATTGGTATGATTATCGTTCCATGAGCAAATATTTGTAGGCAACAACAAATTTTCTTCCAGCAAAGAGATAAGAGATGAGACAACAGATAAGAGATAATTTTGAAGCTAATGTCAATTTACTTGCATAGTTTCCTTTCTTAAAGTGAATAAACACAATTCAATTTCTAATTCTTCTCGGAGCTTTTGCAAGTCGATACACTGGCAAACGCCAAGACGTTCACAATTAGACTCCAGGCTACCACCATTTTCCCGCCTCTCCTACTTTCCAGTATGCATATATCCTCAGCGAATTTTTCCCCCATGAGTGCTCTTCAAAAATGGGCAGTGAAGTTTTACATGGTCAATTAAAGGAAGCTTTTCCAGTTACCCGAAATATTCTCGGACTTGGCTTTCTGTACCTCATCAAAGCTTTACCTGCTCATGTTTCGTTTTTAGTTTCCCTAGATTCTTCAGCGAAGAAGATTCTTTATGCAACTATATGGTACTGGATCCTTGTTACATTCGCGTTTTGCGTGCCAGGATTTACCCCAGAATCTTACGCACATAAGGTAATAGACACGCTATCATAACCTCATCATGTTTGACTTCCGCTTGGCTCTTTGACACAAGTGCGTTCCATCTTCATTGGGAAATAACATCTTCGACGAATTGGAAATTGTGTGAAACTAGTTGGCAAACCCGGCTCCGCCCGGGCCTGTCAATAATATATTTGTATTCAGATGCTCGATTACACCCCTGTGCCAACTCCCAGCCCTGTACAAACTTTGCAAAAAATCGATAAAATCGATAAAGGTAGTCGGTAATTCTCAAAACTAAAGTTGTATTCGAAATCCACATGCTCGATTACTCCCCGGTGCCAACTCCCAGCCCCGTATTTGAACTCTGCAAAAAAATCAATAAAAATCGATGAAATCGATATTGATCGATACGAAAAGTAGCCTATGACACGCTCCCCGCCCCGAAGTGTATGTGTGCCAAGTTTGGTCCCGATCGGTTCAGAAATGGAATTTTCTATTCGGAACATACGTACAGACATACATACAGACAGACAGGCATACATACAAACAGACATTCAGCTTTATATAAAAGATAATCGTTTTTCTGTGTGTAGTATGTAATACATTTTGGCCACCATAGACTTGAAATCGTACGAAGCACATATTTCTGTGGTATCGCTCAAATTAAAACTTTCTGTCACGGAATTAGTGTTGCCTTTTATCGGTTTTTGCTTTTATTTTGCTAGTTACACTATGTTAGCTATCGCGATTTTTCGATTTTTTCTGGTTGCTCATCCTTACATTCGCTTCAAACTTCAGGTAGACCTGATTTCGACTAATGTTTGAAAGCCTTGTCTTGTGGAGCTTGCTTTGCTCTGTCAAATTCTACCCCACTCCTTTGTAGATATTTATCTCGTTACCAGCACGACATCTTGTATAGTGCTGGCGGCAAAACTTTTGGTTCAACCTAAAACAACAAACTGATATACGAGTTTTTGAAGGAATTACGACACTTCAATCCAAAACGTGGAAAACGGGTACTAAACCCTCTTACGATCTGATAAAACGTAGTTTGTTGTGATGCAAGCTACAAGTGTCTACTTTGTTGTTGGCATTTTCATCCTAAAGCTACGCATGACAATTAGAAATAAGTAACTCAGAGCAGCGAAGAGCAACGAATTGAATTACAGGTCAAGGGTGGTAAGAAATGCGCATGCAACTCCAGCAAAAAACGGGAAAGTATGAAGTTGTCTGCATTATTGCCGCTGGTTGAAGAAAGGGAGACCATAGATGATTGAAATTTCTTATCCTTAATTCAGTTTTCAGAACGAAGTAAACGTTTGTTTGATTTTGAATAAACTTTTATCTGAGCTCTGCTTACAGTGTCTCCCAACAAATTATGTAAAAACTCTCGCTTCATTTGTTCAGTGTAATTTAGCTTTCCGTCTAGCCAAATCCATATTCCACTTGTATTTTCTGCTGCAGTTCAATTTGGCATATGCTCACAAGGAACACTGAAGCTTATTCTAGCATCAAGATAGTGGCCCCGTAGAAGGGAACAAACTGATAGACTTCAGGATGTTAGAATGTGGACACTCTGTATACCCGAGCCTCAGTTTCCAAAACATGCGTCAGATTCCTGCGACGTGCTTCAAATCTAAGTCAGAACGCCCACCTCCAGGTTGAGTTTAGCTGAAGAAAAAAGGATAGAGAAGAAGCAAAACAACAGCAGAGGTAAAAAGGGAAGATTTTCACCCATTCTAAGGTCAGTGGCCACCTTACATGATGTGAGTTGAAAGTCAAAAACATATACACGGGAAATAGCACTATTCTTATCACTCTTGCGATGTGGCCAAAATCAATCACGCCTCTGCGCAATCAAGTGATAAGCGACACGCAAATTTTTATGAAATTATTATGTCTCTGTCTCTCTGAAAATAACCTTTGATAAAGACTTGAAATAAATTCATTACACTTATATCTTCTGTAACAATCTCAGATTCGGCAGTTAAATGACTGCTAACGTCCTACATCAAGGCTCGTGTCATTGTGGAGTTGTCAAATGGATGCTATTAGCTCCAGAAGTATTGGAGTGCATTAAGTGCAAGTATGTATTTTGTAATCAATGTGCAAATTTCTATGACCATTTTAGTTGCTCGATATGTAGGAAGAAATCAAATGATCACTACATTGTTACAAAGGACAAATTCACACTATTACAGGTAAATAAGCGCAAATTGATTCCAAATAATTTCAGCTTCTCAAGTCGTTACTCTTTGGTATAAGTTTAGGGAGAAGAGAATTTGACAACGTATACTTTTAACACACATCAAGCAAAACATCTATTTTGTCGAACCTGCGGTGTGCAGTCATTTTACACGCCAAGGTCGAATCCAGATTGTGTCGGTTAGTTGCGTTAATCTTTTTGCACGTGACAGATATTTGTGTTCAGGAATCATGCCGCATTGCATAGACACACCAACCGTGAAAGAGCTGCGATTTTCCACATTTGATGGGCAAAACTGGGAACAAGAAATGAAAAAGAAAGCTCCAACTGCACATTAGCTTGATATTAAGGACTGCAATGACACTGATTGTACGCAGCAGGCAATCTTGCATCAAATTAAAGGAGAATCTGAGCAAGCGTAAAATGATTGTCTACTGTGCTGGAATTAAACATTAAAGTAAGGTGGAGTCTCCACATTATTGGAATGTTACACGCAACCACAATTTCATTTCTTTCACAGATGCACTGCAACTTTTTTGCCCAAAATCGAGCGAGTTAATGCTAATTGATCGCGTTTTGTTCCTTGTACGTTTACTTGGCGCTTTTATCATATTAGTCCACGTGAACAAAACGAATGTTACAGAACGTGCTTCCAACAGTCGTATATCAAAAACGCATAATTCACTATGCTTTCCGTCTGCGTATTCCTTAAATTTGTTATTACTGTGTACACATCCTAGTTGCAACGATTACAGACCGTGAACTATTACAATAGAATAAAGAAAAAGTCGAGTGCAGAAATCGCCTGAGTCGCTGTAGGCTGAACGCACGCGAGCCTCCATGTCAAGATACAGGCTGGCCTTGCCTTTACTTGGTGTGTAGCGGGTTTACATAAGCCTTACTCTAATATTTATTATACATAGTCATATACAAAAGAGGAAAAAAAGAGCAAGAGGACACCGGCTCCTCCCGGCGAGCGGAGGTCACTGCCAGAGGTTGGCTAACCTATTCCAACCTCCATCCTAGGCAGCTGTTGGGGATCAGCCTCCATCCCGACAGCTCTGCAACGCGGCTGTCGATACGGTGAATCATGTGCACGAATGCCGATGTTAGCCCGCAAGAGACGCGCTCGCGGACGTTTAGCCCAGTCGATTCCGTGCAGTCAACTATTAAAAATTGGTGTTTCCTGTAGTATTTTACTGCACAGTTGCACATGTTGCTAAGTCATATCGACTAAAGAAACTTGAAGCTTGAATTAAAAGCGAAGTTATTTGAAAAAAAGACAATGAGACATTTGCCCGTCTAATCTGTTATTCTTATGCTAGGAAAAAACTCTTATCCGCCATTCACGTGTCACAAAATTTAAACTGAGGCCTTAGGTGAAGATTGTGTACTTTTATGGCAAATGGAGAATAATTGTCGTGCCTTCGATAATCGCACAAACGTTTGTGATTGTAGAGGGTAAAGGATGTGTTGAACTTTGTAATTGTGTTCGATAACACGCATGTAATTCTGATTCAGTAGCGTGTGGCATAAGCTACTTGAAATCAATCTCATCGCTACAGCTTTAGCCTAGGGTCTCTCACAGCTGACATATTTTATGAATTGAAGTTCGTTTAACCTCCTGAGGCCGTATGCATCATTGCTAACTTGGGGTAAATCTTACTTCCAGGTAGTTTTATCACTGATTATCAGAGATAAAAATATGTGATAATGAGTGATAAAACTACCAGGAAGTAGGATTCATTTTAAGGTATCAATGATGAATACGGCCTCAGTGGTTTCACGAAGGTATAGCTTTAAATTATTCTGTAGCTGAATAGCCGAAAAGAAGAGTGGTTTGAAATAGGAGAAGAACAAACAAAAGATAAGAAAGCAGTTTTTATGCTTCACCTTCAACTGAATTTAGCGGAATAATTGACAAAAAAGAATAATTACTAACTTAGTCTGCATGCGATTACAGGCATATGGAATGTGCATGAGATGTACAGATCTTGAATATATGCATGCATCTTGAATATATGCTTGTAGACACAACTCGTGTAAGCAGCGTAAACCAGCTTATAAACAGGACATGTTAACCAATCAAAAAATAATTATCGTTTCTGATAAAATATGTTGCAATAGGTGTATTTCAAGAGCACACATGCTCATATCAATTTGGAGTAAAATGATTTATAAATTACCGAAGTTCTTAGCATGGTGGGATTATAAAGTGGGTTCTGCTGACGCACAATAGTGGCAGCGTAAGGCCCCGGGCAGACTTCACGCGATTTGATCGTCGCGACTGAGTCGCGACGAGACAACTGTTACAACATCATTCCATGCCGATCAACTTGCCATCGGTTGTGATACTTTTCCAGCCCGACATTTTTGAATGTGAAATGAAAATGAATGGAAATCTTGGCGATTAGGTCGCGACGATTAAGTCGCGTGAAGTCTGACCGGGGCCTAAAGCGTACGCGCATTTCTTCATGAAAGCAAGACAGGTCGACATATAACGGAATAAACGTTAAGTAATCTGCAATAGCTACGAACTTTGCTCTGAATCTAGACAGTCACATTTAACTTGATCGTGCTATCAACTGCACCATTGTAACTTTTGGAAAATTCTCTGCATCGTAGGACCTGAATGCGTTAATTTGGTATAGGTCTTGTTTGAAATGATTTTTCCTGCATTGCATAGATGATCAATGTGGTGGAACCGCAAAGGAAGTTGTGTAGGCATAGTCAAAATGCGCTAGCCGTGCGTTGAGATTGAACTTTTATATTTGCAAGTTCCTTCCCACAAGGACCCCACTATACACTTGTTTGAAAGAGGTTATAGTTGACTGAGCGAGTGACTCAACCCACTTGAAACCCTTTCGCGCCCTCCACCCCTCAATGGTAAGCTCTGAGTGGCTGTCAAAAATTGGCCAAAATTGCACAATTCTCAATCTGAGCAATGGACAGTTCGTTCCGAGCAGGCCAAAAATTGTTGCAAAGTAGAAGATGCCCGTTCCGTGCATTTGTCCACGAATACTGCATACATGGAGGCAAGTATCATATAAGGTTGATTCATATAATCAATGCAACTTTTTCATACCTCTTCTTTCAAAGGCTGGTTTTCAAAGCAAACCAACTATCAGGTTGTAGTATAAGTCTTCTCACACTCCGACTTCTTATGGCAATAAGTCACGCAATTCATGTTTTCAAGAGCAAAGCATGCTCTAGAAGATGGCATGCAAAAGTTTGCACCAGCTTCGACTCACCACACATCCGCAATCTGACAAGGAAAGGAAAATTGGTCGAAGTGGCCTTTTGAAATGCGGTGTATACTGTCTTATAGAGCTTGGAACGCTGATTCCAAATCTACCTTTGCTATCTGCTGCGGGCTTCTGGGCGAGGAGTATGAAGGTTTTTGTGAGTGAAAATCTGAATGCAAAATTAGGGTAAAATCAGTCGTAACATTTTTTATAGGGCTTATATGGTAGTCGGGTCACTCGGTGCAAAAAATATACTTGATTGAATGTACCACTTCGCTGCTGCCTCGATTGAACATTGGGAAAAGGTTGCGACTGATTTTACCCTATTTTTGCATTTAGATTTTTACTCACTAAAACCTTCATAATTCCTCGCCCAGAAGCCCGCAGCAGATAGCAAAGGTAGATTTGGAATCAGCGTTCCAAGCTCTACAAAGCAGTATAATCTCATTTTGATAGGCCACTTCGACCAACCTTCCTATCCTCGTGAGTCGTGCCGAAGGCTCGGAAAATAGGGGAAAAATCGTATCTTCGCCCAAAAAAATTCTACAGATCTCAAACTTGCTCACACAGATTGAACACCACATCAGGCACTCATATGTGCCGTTTCTGTATTTTTCACATCTAATCGAGAAAAATTTTTTCGTGCTTATGCAAAAACAAGGCTTTATGGCCTCCACTATGTGATGCCTCCATTATGTAGAGTATGCTGTAAGCCCTTAGAAGTATAAGCGTAAATTTTCAGCTTTCCACAGGTCCTAGTTTTCGGAAATTATCGAATTTAGTTAATTTTCATTCGGATGTTCCATGCTAAAATCAACATTCCTCGAAAACTAGGATTTGTGGAAAGCTGAAAATTTGCAGGTTCACTTCTAAGGGCTCGTGGTAGATAACCACTTGAATGGAAAGAGCACAGCTTTGTTTTTACATAAAAATAAAAAATTTCGTTTTCTGGATTTACAGATGAGGCAGGAATACAAGAACGGCACCTATGAGTGTCTGATGTAGTGTGCAATTTTCTTGAGCAAAAGATCTGTAGGATTTTAAAAGAAGATATGAATTTTTCGCGATTTTTTGGGCCTTCAGTGCGACTCACATTTTGGATGCAAACCTACAGCGGGTCGAAGCTGGTGCAAACTTTTGCACCTATCTTGTAGAGCTTGCTTTGCTCTATCGAAGGGCTACCCCGGAGCCCAACTGAAAAGCCCAATTATGTAGTTTGCGAGTTATCGTCGTAAAAAATTTAGTGTAACAAGACTTATGTAACAATCTATATCAAAAACAATCTACTTCATTGAAAAGAGCATTCTTTCTAGCTTCTCACGAACGCCTTTGTGTTTGTAGATATTTGTTCTTTCTGAAGTTTCGAGTTTTCATCAATATACTAAATCTCGAAAATCCATCCTTTCGCTCTTTTTGTCCATCTTTTCGCTCTAAATCCATGTCACCGAGTTTGTCTAAAAAATGTGCATGACGATTGCGAAGCCTTGTGCTACAAAATCCTTTGAGTGAACTTTTTGGAAGATTTTGGAGTGAAAATCGTTTTTGCAAACTTGAGTGGTCGTTGAGAGCCTTTTGTGCCTTGCAAATCGTAAGCAAAAAGCGATTGCAAACCTTTTGCAGTATACAGCAAGGAAGCCCAGTACATTCAGTGGTATGCAAACGGCAGGATTTTTCCACTTTCCAGTGCAGAAAAATTGAAAATTTCCAGAAAAGGCAATTCCGTCGTGATGCCTACAAAATTCCCATAAAATCTAAGTTCGGCACGACTCAAATCCGGCCATTAGCTGGCTACACTACAAGTAGTAAAGGGTTGGGGGAAAGTCTTTGAACAATTTTTGATGTCCTGGTATGTTCGGCTTTTCCACAAATTTTTGTATGCTTACATTTGTTTGATTCTTATACTCTTGAGTACAAGCCCTCAAAAAACTGGACTATTAGTTTTATTCCTGTCGGAGATATGTCTTCTGGAATGGAGCGAGCGTTGGTGGAGAAGATGCACGAGGAGAGGATGGCTGATCAGCAAATTGCGCAATCTCTCCAAATTTTACAGATCAAGGTCTTTCCCACCTTGCGTCGTTTCCAGGATATGAAAGCATCCAGGACTGTTGTATGAGTGGCAAATTGGCTACTGCCGACAGTAACGAGATTCTGAAAATCGTTCGCCAACGCCTTCGTCGCAATTCTCGGCGAAGCTT